CTATTTCATTTACTTCTGCTCTAACTTTTATTATTTGCTTTCTTCTGGTACCCGAGGGCTTCTTTTACTGCTGTCTTTCTATTTGTTCAAGTTGAAGTGTTAATGTTTTGATTTTGGCCCTTTCTTCTTTTTGGATGTGTGCATATATTGCTATAAATTGACTTCTGAGCACTTCTTCTGCTATGTCCCAAAGGTACTGGTAGGATGTATTTTCATTCTCATTTGATTCTGTGAATTTCTTTATTCCGTCCTTAATTTCTTCTTTAACCCAGTAATTTTTGAGTAAGGTGTTGTTCAGTTTCCATGTGTTTGATTTTTTTCCTTGTTTTTTTCTGTTATTGATTTCTACTTTTGTAACTTTACTGTCAGAAAAGATGCTTTGTAATATTTCAATGCTTTGGATTCTGTTAAGGCTTGCTTTATGGCCTAACATGTGGTCTGTTCTGGAGAATGTTCCATGTGCATTGGAAAGGAAAGTATGCTTGGCTGCTTTTGGGTGGAGTGTTCAGTATATGTCTATGAGATCAAGCTGGTTGACTGTAGTGTTTAGATCTTTCGTGTCTTTATTGAGCTTCTTTCTGGATATTCTGTCCACCACCGAAAGTGGTGTGTTGAATTCTCCTACTATTATTGTGGAGCTATCTGTCTTTTCAATGCTGTTAGAGTTTGTTTTATGTATTTTGGAGCCCTGTCATTGGGTGCGTAAATATTTATTATTGTTATGTCCTTCTGGTGTATAGACCCTTTTAATCATTATATAGTGTCCTTCCTTATCCTTCCTGGTGGCTTTTACTTTAAAGTTGATTCTGTCAGAGATTAATATTGCCAGTCCTGCTCTTTTTTGAGTGTTGTTTGCTTGATATATTTTTTTCCATCCTTTCAGTTTCGGTTTCTTTGTGTATTTAAGTCTAAGGTGTGTCTCTTATAGTCAGCATATAGACGGATCGTGTTTTTTATCCATTCTGCCACTCTCTTGTCTCCTTACTGGTGCGTTTAGTCCTTTTACATTCAGGGTAATTATTGCTAGGTATGAGTTTACTGCTGTCTTTTTTGTGCCTTTTTTTGTGTGTTCTTGACAGTTTCTTGTTCCACTTAATTTTCTGTGCTGAGTCGTTTTTCTTTATGTATTTTCTTTTCATTGTTGTTGATTTTGTATTTGCTGAGTCTTTATATTTTTCTTGTTTTTTACTTTGATGTGTAGATTGTTAGTTTTCTTTGTGGTTACCTTAATATTTATTCCTGTTTTTCTAAGTTGAAACCAATCTTTTATTTCTTTACATTGCCTTGACTTCCTCGCCATTTTAAAGATCTATGACTACATTTTTTAGTCCGTCCTTTTTGTTTTAATGTTGTCACCTTTTACATATTGACATCTCTGTTTCCCTATCTTCAGTGTTTTAGCTTTATTTTTGTGACTTCCCTATCTGGGTTGATACCTGGTTGCTCTGTTGTGTGTTCTAGTCTTGGGTTGTTATCTGATGTTACTGATTTTCTAACTGGAGGACTCCCTTTAGTATTTCTTGTAATTTCAGTTTGGTTTTTGCAAATTCCCTAAACTTCTGTTTTCTGGAAATGCCCTAATTTTGCCATCATGTTTGAGAGAGAGATGGTTTTGCTGGATATATATAACTCTTGGCTGGCATTTTTTTCCTTCAAGTCTTTATATATGTCATCCCATTGCCTTCTTGCCTGCATAGTTTCTGCAGCTTAGTCTTACTGACTCTCCTTTGTAGATAACTTTTTGTTTATGCCTAGCTGCTCTTAAAATTCTGTCTTTATCTTTGATTTTGGCAAGTTTGATTAGAATATGTCTTGGTAATTTTCTTTTGGGATCTACCTTATGTGGGGTTCAGTGAACATCTTATATAGATATCTTCTCATCTTTCATGATATCAGGGAAGTTTCTGCCAACAAATCTTCAACAATTTTCTCTGTATTTTCTGTCATCCACCCCTGTTCTGGTACTCCAGTCACTTGTATGTTATTCCTCTTGATAGAGTCCCACATAATTCTTAGGGTTTCTTCATTTTTTTAAATTCTTTTATCTAATTTTTCCTCAAATAAGTTGGTATCAAGTGCATTATCATAAGTCTCACTAATTTTGACTTCCATTGCCTCAGTTCTGCTCCTATGACTTTCTGTTGAGTTGTCTAATTCTGAAATTTTATTGTTAATCTTCTGGACTTCTAATTTCTGCTCTCTTTGTGGAATCTTGCAGCCTATTAAATTTGTCATTATCCTCTTCTATAATCTTAAGTTCCTGTATTGCTTTGTCTGTTGCTTGGCTAGTTCTGCATTTTGCCTGATCTGTTGAAGAGTTCTGTATATTAATCTTTTGTATTCTACCTCTGGTAATGCCAAGAGGTTCTCTTCCTGTGGAAGATTTCTTGATTCTTTGTTTTGGGAGCTTGCTGAAGCCATCGTGTTCTGCCTCTTTATGTGATTTCATATTGATTGTTGTCTCCAAGCCATCAATAAGTTATTATATTTATTTGTTTTATGTTTGCTTACTGTGTCCTAGCTTATTGTTTTAATATGCCCAAATAGGCTCTTCGTATGAACTAGTTTGATTATTGGCACCTTTGAAGCTCTAATATACTGTTACCAGGTGGTTAGATCTGTTACTAGGTATGTGAGCCCGGGAGTCCATTTACTTTTCTTGTATGGATTCAGCTTAGGTGTCCAGGTAGTCGGTCACTAAGTGTGTGGTGCAAGCTCTCACCTATAATCCTAGTCGGGCAGGGATGATTGGAGTAGGCACAGGTGAGGGGTCACACTCTGAGCAAGGCAAGGGGCTGACAGCTGCCAGACTGTCCGGGAAGAAAGTATGGCCCTGTTCCCTAGAGCACATAGGTGGGTGGGTTTTGCAGCCAGGCTATGGGCACTTACTGCTGTTGGTTGTAAGGAATGGGAAGCACCACTTATTCTTGGACCCCTGTCATGGATGGCTAGGTGGCGTGGGTGGAGCCACCCGTCCTCAGGCCCCTGATGTAGGTAGGTCAGGACCCTGCTTAATGGGCAGAGCAGTGTCAAATGTCACCAAACTGCCACTCCATTATATAGCTGATACAGTTGAAGTTAGGCTTCAGGTATATACCCTGTTGTACTGTGCTAATGATGGCCTATGCTATGGAAATGGGCTCACACAGGTGTATGCAGGGGTGAAAGGCATTCAAAATCCATGGTCCCCTTATGCCTGTGCCTAGGCAAATCAGCTGTGCCTGCCCTGAGTTCCCGGTTTAGGGGAGCTGGCAGATTATTTATTCCTGTTTGTTAGTTTGTTCCCTTTGCAAGGCTGGGAGAATGGCTCAGGGCGCGTGATGAGTCCTACTTCTGGGCCAGGAGATGCGGCAATCGCTGAAGCCTGCCTGGGACCCGGTGCAGAGTGGAGAGAGGGTGGGTAAATGGGAGAAAGGTTCTTCCCAAATGGGGTGTTTTTTGATCTGCGCGGTAGGTGAGACACATGTTCTTTTGCTGATTGATTGCCGCTTTTCAGTGGTTCTGGAGGCTTGAGTAGACTCTACACCAGTTGGTGTCTCTGCATGTGAAAAATGCATCCCGAGCGCCACAGCTTGCCTCATAGCACATGCCAGCAGATCTGGCCTGCAGGGTGCCAGTTCCTGCCAGGTCAGGTCTGGCAACTCCCCGCTGCTTCTTAACTGTCTCTCCCTCCTCCTGCCGCTCAGTCCTATTCCTTAACTTTGCCTTTGATGTTCAGGGCTCCTAGATTGTCATATATAGTCAATTCACTTGTTTTTTCGGGTCTTTGTTGTAAAAGAGACCACAGGAAGCATCTGACTACTCCACCACGTTGGCCCTGCCTCCCTCTGCTACCTTTCTTAAGATGCAGCCTTTTGAGTTGTACCTCATCCAGTGAATAAAATTATTGTAGATCGCTTTTCCCTGCTATGGTCAGTGAATATTCTGTCCTGACAGGCTTTTAATACTCACCACCCATGGTTAAAGGAAATAGCTTGATTTTTCTTATTAACTTGTTGATGCAAACACCAGTTCCGGTTTTCTTTCCCATTGTAGTTACTTTGTTTGCTTACTGATGTGGAAATTTCCTAATGGTCCAGGCTTCAGGAGCCCCAGAACTGTTCAGACTTTAACAGTTTGCTGTGTTATATTGCATTTGCTTTTGAGAGAACAGATGGCTCTGCACTTTTGCATCCAGGAAAATACTACACTGTATCTGTCCTTCCTAGCCGTCTGTGTGAGTAGATGTGTCTGTCCGTGGGTGCACGAGGCAGTGGCCAGCGTGCTTGCTAGTTCTCTGCAGTCGGAATAAAAGGCAGAAGACGGAACTGTTCCAAGGGCCTGAGAGAGTCTTGCAAAGGAAAACACTACAAGCAAGGGTCACGCTATTGCTCTTACTGCACCTGCATATTTCTGTGGATGGAGAGGGGTGGACTTTTTTCCCTGCTTAGTGGAATCTAGAGGCCTTTAAAAATGGAATTAAAATGCTCCAACACCCACACACAAAGCCTGGCATACAACTAAGCATTGTGTTCCTTAGAGGAGGAAGCATTCTTGGTCCTTGGCGAAGGAGGCAGTAGATTCCTTCAGTTGAGTGAAGGTTAGTTGAAGTCTTGATGTCTCCAGCATGGCCAAACCAGCTCCACACACACTCAGCTGGAGCCACCAGGTTAAACAATGCAAGAATGACTTCTCCTCCTCTGGGACCAGTGGGCGGGCATGGGGTGATATCTCAGCCACTGCGCTAAGGGTCTCCTTTGCCCACTCTCCTAGCTTGTGTATTCTCTGCATCGGCGTTGGAGAAAGTACAAGTGCATGCATAGGTCACTCACTTTCCACGTGTTTGGAACTAGGGGCAAGGGTTGTTTTGCCTTTAAATTATACCGGGCATGGGTCACACATGCAAGTCATTGTAAACCCAAGGTGTGTAAATTGGTGACCACCTGCATGGCACAAAGAGCATATGAGTTTCCTGAGGAAAGCATGGTTAACATGCCCCCTACCCCTTTGTGTCTTGGCAGCCTGCAACGTGTGGTACCTGAACTCTGTGGAAATGGAGTCCCTCACAGGCCACCAAGCAGTGCAGAAGGCCTTAAGCATCACCTTGGTCCAGGAGCCTCCTCCCATCTCCACGGTCGTCCACTTTAAGGTGTCTGCCCAGGGCATCACACTGACGGACAATCAGAGGAAGTGAGTGAGGGGCTTTAGGGCCGGGGGGGTTTCTGATCACATTGGGAGGTAGACTTCCCCACTGGCTTTTCTCTTGGAAAGAAAATGCCTCAAGAAGTGTCGGTGGTCAGTCTTGAAATAATTAGCCATCAGGCTTCTGCCTAGGCTTTACCCTGTTATTAAAAGTGTCCCACCCATAACCAAACCAAACCCACTGCCATTGAGTCAGTTCCGACTTGTAGTATAGTAGAATGGAGTAGAACTGCCCCATAGGGCTTCCAGGGAGCGGCTGGTGGATTCCAACTGCCAACCTTTTGGTTAGCAGCTGATCTCTTAACCACTGTGCCACCAGGGCTCCAAAAGTGTTGCAGTAATCACATATAGATTATTGGTGTTTAACCTGAAGGCTTTTCTTCGGAATCAATAAAATTATTTTTTAAAAAAAGGTACTTGGTACTTTGAATATTGCACATACACGTATATAATTTGCAAATGCAAAAATCGTGTAAGTCACTTGTTCAAAACCATCCTGAGACTATAATCATAGTACACTGATCTTTGTTCAACTATTACTGTTTTCAACTGCGGTCATTTTGTTTGGGGTGAGAGCCTGACCTTGATATGTTACTTCCTGCTGCCAATTTTAAATGACTTTATCAGAGTTGCTGTTGATGCAGCAGTGTGTTCCAACAAGGAACATTTATCACGTCCCTGCCTGGAGTGGTGCTCTGTGCTTTGAGGTCACAAGGAGGTGCTTGTTCCTCTTGCTCGTCTTCAGGCTTGCCTTCTCTGTGTTCCTCTTGTAGGAGGAGGAGTCGTTGACTTCTGGATTAAAGGCATTTCAGAAGTAATAGCTGTTGTTATGTAAACAGCCTGGTGTGATTAAGAGTCAGGCCAGGTCTTCAGCCTTAAGAAGGCGGAGCTATGGAAGGAGCTTGTAGAGGAAGGTGGCTCATGCCCTAATGCCAGCAGAGTAGTCCCCAAGCAACCCCCGTCCTTCTGCCCATGGAGCTTTCCCAGAGTAGAACTACCCCATAGGGCTTCCAAAGAGCAGCTGGTGGATTTGAACTGCCTTCCTTTTTGGTTAGCAGCTGAGCTCTTAACCATTGTGCCACCAGGGCTCCTCCTAGTGGGAAGGGGAAGGATTTTCTGTCTCTCGTGACTCGGTGGTGCCTCAGGGCTCATCCCCAGAGAGGGGAGATTTTCTTCATCTACCCAAGATACAGCGGGTTGGGAGCAGATTTTATTCATAGCCCTTCCCCAGCTAAGAATAGGAGTATGGGGTGGGACTTGGGCTTTGCGAATTGGTCTGAGTTCAGTTGCTTTTCTACTTCCTAAAGGGTGACTTAACCCCTTGATGCTCAGTTTCCTTCTCTCTAAAACCTGAACCACAGATGAAATGAGTCCTTCACAAAAGCCAAGCGGGGTTGGCCTCGTGGTAGGTGCCGGCCTGTGTCCAGTTCCGTGTGCACATGGAGATCCTCAGACCATGTTCCTGAACATTCTCTTCTATATGCTCCCAACCTCCTCTCCTAGCTCCTCGCAGAACTATTTACTCTTGTCACCGTGTGTTTCTCCATCTTTCGTTTATCCTTTATAAAATCTTGAGACAGGCAGCCTCAGTCAAGCTCTTTCATATGGCAAGAGTCAGAATTTGGATTTGGACTGGCTTATGTGGGAAAGGGGGGTGCATTCTCTGACAGTCAGCTTCAAAAGGCAGCTGAGGGGGTGGTGCAGCCGGCCATGGTCCACCTCAGACTGAAAGATGTCAGACTCTCTGTATCTCCTTTCCCCCAATGGTGGCCTCTCTCTCTGTCCTTCTCCACAGGGGCTTTCTGGCTTCCTCCCTGTGGCAGAAACAAAGCCCCCAGCAGCTGGAAGACACATGCTTATAGCTCTCTTCAGAAAGAGGAGCGAGCTACCCCCAAGCACCTACTATGCTGGTTCTGCCTGGATAGAAAGGACAGGACATAGTGATGGCTACCCTCTCCAGGACCATGTGGACTGGGGGCGGGGCAGTGCACTCAAAGGAGGCTGGGAGAGCTGCTCCGACACGAGGTTGTGAGCCCCGGACACAGGGCCTTCTGGTTGTTATATCAGCAGCGGAGCTGAGCTCAGTGTTAGAGGCACTTCACCAACACATATAATGTGCACAGCCCTTGCCAGTTTACAGAGCGCCCTCACGTGCATTGTTGTGTTTGAGTATGGCACCAGTCCTGTAGGATTAGGGGGTGTTGGTATTGTGCTCTTTTTACAGGTGGGGAAACTGAGGCTCAGAAACAGGAAGTAGTTTTCCCAAGGTCACAGGCGAGGGAAGGTCAGGCCAGGCCCTGCTGGTGCTTCTTTGTACCTGTCTCCCTCACACACTCGCTTCTCCAGTTAGTTGAGGGCCTTTGGTTCAATTCCCGTCACCCATGGTGCTGAGGATCCCAATCTGAACAGCGCTGCATTTTACCACGACGCCATTTTTCTTTTTGAGTGCCAGCTATTTCCAGCTTCACAACCTTTTGACTCTTAATAAGCACTGACTTTGTTCTTCTCTCCAAGTGGCTAGTAGAGTTGTAAGATCATCACATGTGGGAGACCCACACAGTTTGTGACCCATCATCATATAATGCCAGCACACTCATCTCCCCCGCCTTGTTTCCTGGACAGGCTCTTCTTCAGGAGGCACTACCCTGTTAACAACGTGATCTTCTGTGCTTTGGATCCACAAGACAGGAAGTAAGGAGTTTGCATGTTTATTAAGCAATGCATGTAGTTCATTTTATCCTTTAATTTTATAAAAATTAACAGCGATTATCTTTTTTCTTCAATTCACAAGGTGGATGAAAGACGGCCCTTGCTCAAAGTAAGTTGCCAAGATTTCTTTATGTTCTCTCTTAGTTTACAGCCACAATCCAAAGATGAATTCTGTTCTAGATTTCCAAAGAGAATTCCTGATAGGAAAGTGATTAAGTAATGTCAGTGGTTTTGGGTTTATGCTTTTAAAAGTAAAAGTGTTCTTATTATGTAGGGAGAGACTGGATAGTGTTCACCTGTCTGCTTGCTGTTCATTGCATGTGCTGTGTTTACATTTGATCTGTACAGTGATGTAGAAATACAGTGAGGCAGAGTATAGCTTTTTCAGCCATTTAGGACAGGGTGTGGCCTGCAGGTGCTTTGAAGTTTCCTGTGAACATGAGCACAGATAAAATGGATGTTCAAAGTTTATCACACACAGAGCGGGAGACAGTTCTCATTATGCCCTTGCTCTGAGGCAGGCCAGGCCTTGGTTTCTAGATCCCTCAGGGAGCCCTTCAAAGACCCCCTTTTACAGATGGGCCTTATCCTGATTCTCTGCGTGGCCAAGTGGCCTGCCGCAGCGTGGACCATCCAGTTGGCGTCTCCTCACAGCTACCTGGGGTCTCAGGTGTGGCGCCATCAGCTGGCTTTGTTGTCAGGCAGGCAGCTGGGGTCTCGTCCTACCCACGCTGTCTGAGGCATAGCTGTCTCAGTTTCCTAATTACCTCCTCCAGAGTCTAAATTTAATTACCAATAATGTCAAGTCACAGGTCCCCTTTCCTAGGATTTCTTCACCTGTCTCCCTTGTCTAGGGATCTGACAGAGTGCTCAGACTGCCCCCTACCCCAGGTGGAGACTGGTGGCGCACTCCCCAAACCCCAGCAGGCAGGGGTAAGACAAGGCCTTCGTCTTCCTTCATGGACTTTGCAACTGCATTAGGGTCACTTAAGTGTCATTCACTGGTCTCTGCAGTGTGGAAAACTGTTACGCTTAATCCAACAATCCTTCCTTTTTCTAAGAGAAAGGAGACCTGTACCAGGGATTTGGATACAGATAATGGTAGTTATTGTGTGAACTTTAGGACTCATAAAAGCCTATTAAGATACTGGCTTCCATTTGTCTGAGAAAAATAATTAACTGTACTGTTCTTTTAAACAGTGGCCTGAGAAGAGAGTCATTGGAGTGTTTACTTACTTTTTTATTTCCCTTTTATTATAATCTGTGTTTTATGGAACTGATATGCCTTCTATATATGGTCTTAATCCTTGAATATGTTTAAAAAAGAAATGCTAAGTTTATAAACCATGGTCTTAATCCCTGTTGAAATAAATATCCACTTGAGGTCACTAGATTCCCATGAATTTAGGTGCTTCTCCAGCTGGTTGGGTGTCAGGGCTTTCTGCATTCATCCCAGCCCATTCGCTTGTAGACAGGCACGTCCAGTTACACTCACTGCCTCTGGCACACAGGGTCAGGACTTGTGTGCATCTGACACCATCTCAGGAACTGACATTGGGTTATTAGTACTACCCAAGTTGGTCTCTAGCAGCATTTTGAACTGGTTTGTTCTATGCTCAAGGGCAATAACTCAGAATGCCTAGAACCCGTCTCACTTGATTTCATGAGGTGATAACAGGTGGTCTCATGAGGCAGAACAGTGGTCCTCACACCATAGTGCCCTGAGAAATCACCTGGCACCACAGACCTGCCCTCCCCTCAGAGACTCCTATCTTCTAGCTAGAGAGTGGGGCTCAGGGATCTGCCTGAACAAGTATCCAGAGGGTTCTGGCCAGTGACCTTGAGCTGCACATGGAGAAGCATCTGTGTAGTGCGTGGAGCCCTGTGTAGTGCATGGAGCCCTGGCTTGGAGTCCAGCCCTAGCACTGGGCTGTGAGCTGGTCATTCAGTTTCTCTGAACCTCATGGTTCTCACCTACAAGATAAGGGTAGTGACATCTTACCTGCAGGGCTTGAGAAGGTTAGAAATAAAGTGTGCAGATAGGTACTTAGCAGGGGCCTTGGCAGATAGGAGATGTTAGTAAGTGGCAGCTGAAATCACTCCTGGTGGTGGTGGTGGTGGTGGTGGTGGTGGTGGTTGGTGGGACGCTGGCCACTTTGACCTTCCCTTTTCCTTTGCAGGGTCTTTGGGTTTGTGGCCCGAAAGCAAGGCAGCACCACGGACAACGTGTGCCACCTGTTCGCAGAGCACGACCCTGAGCAGCCGGCCAGTGCCATTGTGAACTTTGTATCAAAGGTCATGATCGGGTCCCCAAAGAAGATCTGACAGTCCTGCACAACACAGGCCCACAGGAAGCCTTCAAGGACCTTGAGACATCATGGGATTGGGATGGGGCCACCACTTTGTAGCAAACTGACATCCCGACATTCCCAGTCCAGGAGGGAAAAGTGGATCTTCCAACTTTACAAAAACAAGAACAGTCAACCTCACCATTCATTGGCCTTTCTTGACAGAAACTCCTCATGTGACACATTTCTGTAGCCAAGTGCTCCTTGGGTGAAAAAAGTTGGACAAAGAGTGCACCCAGCAGGGACCACATTGGAAAGAAACATGCAAGAAAACACCCCAGAGAAAGGGGTAGCATCCCATCCTTCCCAGTTTGCCAGCCTTTGTGGGGAGGGGTGGCCCACTCACTCCAGTGCACGGTGTGACAGCTGCGCGGTATGACCGCTGCACAGCCTGTCCTCATAGGTTCCTGGCTGGTCGATGTGTGGTGATGCGGCCCTCATCTCAGTCTTCCACAGCGGTGGAGATGTTACCTGACCCAGAAGGGGATGCATGTTTGGTGAAGGTCAGTGCAGGTCAAGCCCTTTCAGAACAATGAGAGGTCATGAACGAGGCGACAGTGGGGTATGGTGAGGATGAGAGTGATGGGAGCTTTTGGGCTCCAGTCTGAAAAGAGCACTGGGATGCTTTAGAAACCAGTCCTCTGGTGGGTGATGACTCACGCCTCCTGCTCTTGGGAAGGGGTTCTAAGTAATGAGTGAAACAGTGAGAAGCCGTTTTGACCAGGAGAGGACAAAAGGAGAAGATGGAAGTAAAACGCCATTTCTGTGTAATTTATATTTTCCTTATGCCAAATTATTTATGATATCAGTTTGCCATTGCTGTAGTGTGTGTGTGTACAAACACTGCTGCCTGTCGCGCTTGGATTTGAGGGGTTCATCATGATGTAGATGCTCTGCTAGTGCCTTGACACACAAAATGGTGGTACAGGGACCGATGGGGTGCTGTTAGAAGGCTCCAACATACCATGTTACCAAGAGCCCACTTCAACTCTTTACTCCTATCTTTTCTCATATTTTTAGATGACTTTCTTTTGGTGGGAAAGGTCCAGAAGGGGCGGGAAGTGACCAGTGAGAGCACAACCTTGCTTAGCACCTGCTTGCTAGGAGTCATTTTAAGACCCAGTGTAGTAGTATTGCATGAAGTACTTCTCACCTTCGTAAGCTCTGGTAGGAGTCCTTCTCTTTATACTGCTCCTTGCCATGCATGCTCCTTCCTCCCAGGGATCCTATGTGTTTATGGCATCCTTGAGCAGAAGGAGGAAAGGAGGAAGAGGAGAAAGTAATTCTCAATGTGTACAAGCTCTATTTGAGTGTCACTTTCCCACATCACCCTGGCCACTGGCTCAGTGTCATTTTTGCTTGTATGACTGTTCCGACGCAGTGGTTTTCCACCTGAAGGTGTCCATGGTCACAGGTTTGGAGGAAGCAACTGATCCTGGGACTTCTCCAGAGCGAGAGGTGGAGCTGGGCAAGGTTGTAACAAAGCCATGGTCCCTTCCTCTTAATGCCCAGTGTGCTCCATGGTGACTGTTCAGATTGGAAGCCATTTTGAATTTCTTGTCCTCCTCTGCTTTCTCAACTCAAGTGCAAGCTCTCAGATCGCAGGTACCACAGCAACAGATTAGGGTTTGAAAATAGGCCTGGTGAATTCTCTGTTTTAAAATGAGGGGCAGAGAAAATCATAGCGATGGACAGAGCTGGAATCATCTGAATTCCAGCAGGCATTGTACATAGACGTCTGTATATAGAAAAGCAAGTGGATGATTCCACATTTTAGCTCCTATCGATGCACCAAAGGCAAGTGCCTTGTTTCTGTGCCAAATGTTTGCCTGGTCCTCATGGACCCGCCTCCCTGACACGTCGGCATGACCGTTACAGGGAGTGTGCTGGCCTGTCCTAGTGGCCTTGATGTCTTCAGCAGAGGCATCTCGCATTTCACTGTTTTCCTCTACTGCAGGAATCAGTCAAGGGGGAGGAGAGGTGTATCCTCTCACCAAGTGGCTGCCTCATACTGAGAGGGTTTGTACCCAAGTTTGACCCAAAGACCACAGGCCGGGCCCCTTCTCCTCTGAAGAAGGAAAAGAGGGCTTATTTAAAAGTAAAAGCAGGAGAGGGAAGTGCTACTTACAGTTATGGAGACATCAGGGCCACCCACGAGAGTCTTTGTTCAGCTCCTTCAAGAAGCCACAAAAATTTGCCTTTTAAACTTACTGGCCAGGTGTGGTTTGTTCTCACATCGGTCAAGGGCATCAGGGAATTTGCTCCAAGCAAAGCGCTCCCTCTGAGGAACCGAAGGAAGCGCTGTCTGCAGGTTCTGACAGACTGGTACGACCGAGTTCTCTTCTGGTGTGCCCCATGTGCATGAAGAAAACAACTTGGTGCAGTCACAGACAACCATGCAGTCACGGACGACTGTGCTGTGCCCCGGAGATCCCATGCACGCACCACCAGCTCCGGCTTTGGGCGCATGCAACAAGAAACACTCCCGGGCATCATGCCTGTGGGGCCTCGCCTAGCACAGATGTGCTGTCCTGGAGAGGGAATGCCAGTGAGGTCCCAAGAACTGTTTGCAACAAATATCATAGCCAGGGTCCTATTAACCTACTCATGAAATGTATTGTTGTAATCCTCCAGTGTTAAACTTTAACCGTGTTAAAACTCACGCTGCATTAAAGAATTTCTTGTGTATCCTCAGTGTCAAAGACCTTGTAATGTCTCCTTAGCAGCCTTACTTGTTATTGAATATTTTTACCTTTTCTGATACTGTAAAGAGTATATCCAGTATGTAAATGAATGTTCTATAAATCCTTTGTATAGTCATTTGCTCTGCTCTTTAAATATCATCTCTATTCAGAGTATAATAAAATTATGAACTTGGTAAGCCTCAGTGAACTGGTGTTTGTTTTTTGGGGTAGATAGTCGTGCCCCTACTAAATGATTAAAGCACTCGTGTGTGTCTGCGTCTGTGTGGCTGTTCCTGTGTGTGTGTTCCCGTGTGTGTGCCTGTATCTTGTGTGTTTATTTGGGAGGTTAACGGGGGTTGTTCATTGGTCAGTGGATTCAGTTATAAATCCACATAGGGTTTGCCTTCAGGAATATATTTTAATATTTCTGCCCAGAGAACCTTGAAAAATTACATTCAAAGATTTAACAAAATTAACTATAATGCCCAGTGGTAGGTACTCTGATACTTGTTGATGTAGATAGGCTCACCCCCACCCCACCCCCACACACACACCCAGTGGCTGCAGGAGTCAGCCCCTAGTGTTGTTGGGCGAGCTCTGGTTGGTTCTCCTCAGTTTCTAACTGGGCAGGCTCTGGACCTGAATATTAAATCTGGTGGATTCCCTTAGTCATGTCGCAGATGCTGGTTGACAGGCCTGGGACACATGGGCAAGTACCCACCCCCCTGGCACTCATGAGCTTACACCCTTCCCCCGGCCTCTTCCCTCTCTCTGCACTGGCCTGGAGCCTTAGGACTGGCTCCCTCCCTCCCTCTCTCTAAGGGGAATTGTCCCCTGTTGGCAAAGGCTCTCCTCTCCTGTCTTGGACAGCATGATTGGGTGCAGGTCCTCACCCTCCTCCTGAATTCCTGTGAGTTAAGACAGAGCCCAGCACTGCATGCTAGCCTAATTCCCTCTGGGTCCCATTATCCTGAGCAGGGCTGTGATTGCAGGAAGCAGAGGTACCGCACTTGGCGAATTTTAATTTGAATCTGATTTGTACTTGATCACCTGGATGTGGATGGGCCACTCGAAGGCACCCAGCCTTGAGAGCCTCATACATAAAACAGGAATGATACTGCAGCCTCCATGCCTGTAGCTCCTCCTGGGGCAGGCCTTCCACACTGTCAGTCATTATAAGTATTACATTAAGGATGGAAGCATAACTGCTTATGGAACTGAACCTCTTGATGACCACTTCAGCTCCAAATCAAAAACTAAGCAATACTTGGGGCCATTTCAGTCATGGACAAATAATACAGATTTAACTTGTTGCTTTCAACCTTAAGTCCAAGTTTCCTCTTGCTCTTTCAGCCAGTGGAGGCTTCAGCTTCCCACTCTGATGAAACACAGAGTGTTGGGAAGGTGAACTTGAACTATCCCCAAGCCAGAGTCTGTGGGGCCTCAAAGAAGAGTGAAAACAGGCTGGGGCAGGTTAGATCTTGCTGAACAGGAAGCTCCCAATGGGCCCTGAAGACAAGGCCCAGCACTGGACAAATATCACAGTGTGGTGTAACACAAACAGGGCACCTTGTTAACACTGCCTCACAGAGTACAACTTCTAAGAGCACCACCTGACTGAATTACATTGCCCAACTCACAGGGTGCTCATAGAACACATGTCCCTAGACCTCATGACCAGAGCCTGCCAGGTAAGCTGTTGGAAAGGCTCCACGGTCATGAGGCCCTGGCTGGAGGAGCCCTGCCACATACGGGCATCACGAGGTCTGTTCATCGTGCAACGACCTGCTGTGATGGGTGCCTGGGCCACCATTCAGTCGGGGGACCACGTGTCTGTGCTCTGCAAGTAATGCCTCCATCTCTTAGCCACAGTAGAGGTTGGTTTGCGATCACAAGATGGTGAGTTGGCCTACGTGGTGGCCTTGGGGACGTCACATTTCACAGAACAGGAGGCATTTGACCCAAGCTTACAGAATGCATTGGAGTTTTCTAGAAGAACTTGGGGCTTGGGCAGTGGAGAGAAGGGACATTTCATTACACAGGAATTGATCTTCTCTGGACATTTTGAGCAGCAGGGCTGTTGAACAGGTGTATAGGAAAAATGGACTGACCACAATGGCCTTAAATCCTGAGAAACTAGAGGCCGCAGGGCCAACTCTGATCTGAGGCAGGGGTAGGGGTGGGCTTACTGAAAGATGGTCACCAACACAGGTGACCAGGGCACCAGCAAAAGGGGTTTCACCACAACAATTGACCTGACTCTCTTTGTACCCATGCATCTGAGACTCCCCTCCCTATCACAGAGGAGCCCTGGTGGTGCAGTGGTTAAGCGCTCGATGGCTAACAGAAAAGTCAGCATTTCGAACCTACCAGGCACTCTGTGGGAGAAAGACATAGTAGTCCACTTCCATAACAATTTACAGCCTTGGAATCCCTATGGGGCAGTTCTACTCTGTCATATAGGGTCGCTATGAGTCAGTATTTAACCAATGGCAATAGTTTTTTTTTTTTTGGCCCCATCCCAGAGACACCTGATGGCTGGGCAACACCAGGGGCATCCTAGCAAAACAAATACCCCATCCAGGAAGCATGCCATGTGTCCCCCAAACGGGAACCCACCACAGCAAACACCAGGCCAGGGAAGGCTTTTCAAAGCTATGTACCCACTGAGAGAAACCTGTTCAACCTCGTCAGGTAGCACCATTAGGGACCAGTGGTGTCTTAGTCATCTAGTGCTGCTCTAACAGAAATACCACAAGTGGATGGCTTTAACAAAGAGAAATTTATTTTCTCACACTCTAGTAGCCTAGAAGTCCAAATTCAGGGTGTCAGCTCCAGGGGAAGGCTTTCTCTGTTGGCTCTGGAGAAAGGTCCTTGTTGTCATAAGTCTTCCCCTGGACTAGGAGCTTCTCTGCGCAGGAACCTCAGGTCCAAAGGACGTGCTCTGCTCATGGTATTTCTTCTTGGTGGTATGAGGTCCCCAGTTCTCTGCTTGCTTCCCTTTCCTTTTATCTCTTGTAAGGTAAAAGGTGGTGCAGGCCACGCCCTAGGGAAGCTCCCTTTACATTGGATCAGGGATGTGACCTGGTTAAGGGTGGTGTTACAATCCCACCCTAATCCTCTTTAACATAAAATTACAATCACAAAATGGAGGCCAACCACACAATTCTGGGAATCATGGCCCAGCCAAATTGATACACACATCTTTTGGGGACATAGTTCAAACCATGACATTCCACCCTTTGGCTCCCAAAAAATCATATCCTTGCAACATGGAAAACACATTCGCCTCGTCATATCACAGCCAAAGTCTTAACTCCAAGTCCAAAATCCAGAAATTCCTCTTCATCTGTAAAATCTAGAATACAAGTTATCTGCTTCCAAAGGTACAATGGCAGAACAGGCACAAGCTAGACATTTCCATTACAAATGGGAGAAATTGCAGGGAAAGAAGTGATAACAGGCACCAAGCAAGTCAGCAGAACACATTACATTAGCCCTCAAGGCTTTGAAAATAAACCTCTGTTCTCTGAGACAATTTACACAATGGCCCTGCCCTCCAGGCTCTAGGTATTGGCCATCGTCTCCAGATTCTGAGTGGAAGCCCCTCGGCCCTGGGCTTCAGCTCTGCCTTCCAGGCCCACTGGGACAGCAACTCTGCTCCCTTGGCTTTAGGAGCACCATTCTCCCAGTCCATCTCAGTGGCGATTCCACCTTTAGAAGCACCAGAGTTCATGGCTCCACCCTTTGAAACCCCAGAGGTCATGGCCATACCTTTTGAGACTGAGGCAGCTTGGCTTCTTACGTTTCTTGTCTCTTCAGCTTCTGCTTCTGTTTCCTGTGGTCTTTTGGCCCTTGGGCCTCATGCCTGCATCTGCCCTGCCTGGGCAAGTGTTCCAAAGCTGTGTAGCTCCACCAGTAAGTGCTCAGAGGCATCCCACTTGGCCAGGAAGCCTCCTGCACACAGACACTCAGCTCCCTTGCTCTGTGGGTCAGCAAGTCTAGCTCCACTGATAAGTGCCCAGAGGCACCCCACTCTGCCAGGAAGACTCCTGTGCACAGGTACTCAGCTCTCTCTCTCTGTGGGTCAGCTCCAGTGCCATCTCGCACTGGTCTCCTGGTTCTGCTGCTGTTGATTCTCTGCCGCTGCAGGTTCTCTGCTGTTGTGGTCTTCTGCCACTGCCGCTCCTCCATCCATTCACAGTTTAAAAACCGTTTCCACATTTTAGGTATCTGTTAGAGCAGCACCCCACTCTCTCAGTACCAAATTCTGTCTTAGTCATATAGTGCTGCTCTAACAGAAATAACTGCAAGTGGATGACTTTAACAAAGAGAAATATATTTTCTCACCATCTAGTAGGCTAGAAGTCCAAATTCAGGGTGTCAGCTCCAGGGGAAAGCTTTCTCTGTCACCTCTAGAGGAAGGTCCTCATTGTCATCAGTCTTCCCCTGGACTAGGAGCTTCTCTGAGCAGGAACCTTGGGTCTAAAGGACGCGCTCTGCTCCTGGTATTCCTTCTTGGTAGTATGAGGTCCCCAATTCTCTGCTTGCTTCCCTTTCTTTTTATCTCTTGTAATGTAAAAGTTGATGCAGGCCACACACTAGGGAAACTCCCTTTACAGTGGATCAGGGATGTGACCTGGGTAACGGGTGGTGTTACAATTCTACCCTAATCCTCTTTAATATAAAATTGCGATCATAAAATAGAGGCCAACCACACAGTTCTGGGAATCGTGGCCCAGCTAAATTGATACACACATTTTTGGGGGGACACAATTCAAACCATGACAAGTGGGAAACCCAGCAGCACCAGATAAACCAAGCAGGCGAAAATAACACCATAAAAGCTCTTGAAATTAGACTGGCACTGGAACAACAGCCCACAAAACTAGGCCAGGACCTGTGTGCTGAACCTAAACAGGTGACTGCCTGCTAAAATAAAGATATAAATAGGACCCAGAGTCCAATAACATAGCAGACAAAATGTCCAGGATACAATTAAAATCACTTGTCATATCAAGAACCAAGAATTTACAACAAAAATGAGAGAAGACAATCAACTGATGCTAACATCCAGATGAATTAGATGTTGGCATTATTTGGCAAGAATTTTAAAGCAGCCATCATGAAAATGCTTCAAAAAACAAATAAAAATTCTCTTGAAACAAAGGAAAAAATAGAAAACCACAGCAAAAACATGAAAGTTATAAAAAAGAACCAAATGGACATAACAGAACTAAAAAATATAACAGAAATTTTAAAAAGCTCACTGGATGAGTTCAATAGTAGACTGGAGATAACAGAGTATAGAATCAGTAAACATGGGAACCAAAAAACCAAACCAGTTGCCACTGAGTTGATTTCGACTCATGGTGACCCATGTGTGTCAGACTAGAAATGTGTTCTATAAGGTTTTCAATGGCTGAT